CTTGAGAATGTGGTGTTGAACCAAATTGTTGCAGTTCAATTTACTAAATCTGATTCTAATGTAATTTCACGCAGCATATTCCAGATCATAACAGTTGTGTAAAAAAATTCTCATCAACCCTATAATCCTTTTGCTAATAATAATTAGCACTGTATATGAATAATTAATAACACTAGGTTGATGGCCTTGTGTGACTTCAAGACCTGGTTTGTTTTCCCATGAGCAAATGTTTCACAATTTTTGGTGACATATTGGAATTAGGTAATAATGTAAATGATCACTAATCTGTCAAAAAAGACAAAATGTTGAGGCATTTAACATGGAATGGTGCAAGAGACACAGAAACACAACCAGTGTAACTTAGAATGCCAAAGAAAAGAGAAAGTGTATGAGAGAGAAAGAAAGTTTGGATACCCAGACACAATTTGGAATTATTTGACACATGGAGTATATGCTGTTGCCTGTAACCACTTCTGGTAATTCCATTTCACTGGCAAAGTATTTACTTTCCAATAGTTTTCAGGAATGGGGGCTAATGAAACACCTCTCTAATATCGACACATTCTCTCTACTTAAGCATTCTGCATTTCTGAAAGAGTTCAACTAGTGAAGCTTGACTTGCTACGTAATTTCTAAGCTGGTCATGTGCATACACATTAAGAAATTCTTAAATACTTACTCTGCGTTTTGAAAAGCGACCACTCCCATCTCATGAAGAACAAAAGGATCCTCGGGTGCAGTGCTCAAGGCCTGACTGAAAAACCTTTCTGCCAGTTTAGAATTATTGGTTAGTCCATACTCGAGGCCAATATACAACATTGGTAAGTGACACCTGCAGGCAACAGAACATAAAACATCTAACTCCGCAGTTCTTTCTGAGGAGGTATAAATAAAATCAAATCCAGTAAATAGAACATCGACATTACAGACAGTGCACAGAAATGCTTGCAAATCAAGACTTGCTTTATTCACACAAAAATTAAACGATGGTTGCATAGGTTTTAGAATTTAGTAGATTTTTTTTAAATGTATTAGACAAATGCTACTTCAAGTCACCTGGTTTACCCCAATATGATAAATAGAAAGACGGTTCAGATTGAGTTTTGGGTGGAGAAAGAGAATCATTGCATTTGCTGTGGGAGAGGGTTTAAATTAACCAAGGGAGGGGCAGCAGAAAGAAGAAACAAGGCCAATTAAAAAAGGGAAAAAATAGAACAAAATACCAGTTAAGATGCATGGGAAAAAGCAACGTAAGCTAGGAGTCAGTGCCGAAATGTAAATGTGTTAATGTAAGGATTACTGTATTAAAATAAACTTGTGACAACTACAGACACAAGATCCTGCTTATGAACATACAAATTACCAGAAGTAGGCTATTCAGCCCCTTGAAACCTGCTCCATCATTCAAGATGATCACAGCTGATGTGTTTGTGTTTTGAATTCCACATTCCAATCTACCCATCATAAACTTAAAATCTTGTCAGGCAAGGGAATTAATCCAACTCTGCCTTAAATATATTCAATGGCACTGCCTCCACCAATTTCTGAGGCAGAATTCCAGTGCTCCAAAGTTGTACTGTTCTCAAAGAGCAAAAAAAAAAATCACCTCTGCGTTAAAAGAGCAACCCCAAATTATTAAATATCTTGCCCCATATCTGGACCTACCTACAAGAGGAAATACCCTTTCCATATCCACCTTGTCAAGACCATTCAGGATCTGGTAAACTTTAATACAGTCACCTCTCAGTTTAAACTCCAGGAGAAATAAGCCCAGTCTGTCCAACATTTCCTCACAAGACAACCTGCTCATTCAAGATATCAATCTTGGAAAATTACTCCCAACCATCTCCAGTACATTTACACCCTTCCTTAAATAAAGAAAGGGAGAGACCAAAACTACACAGTTTTTCAGTTTGTGGTCTCGCCAATGCCGTGTATAACTGAAGCACAACATCCTTACTTTTATCGAAATTGCTGGGGAAACTCAGATCTAGCAGCAACTGTGGAGTGAAAAAACAGAGTTAACGTTTTGAGTCTGGTGACCCTTCTTCAGAACGGGTCTGGACTGAACTCAAAATGTTACCTTTGTTTCCTCTTCACAGATGCTGCCAGATCTGTTGAGGTTCTCCAACAATTTCTGTTTCCGTTTCTGTTTCAGATTTCAAGCATCCGCAACTCTTTTTTTCAATCCTTACTTTTGTGTTCAATTCATCTCATAGCAAAGGATAGCATTCCAGGAGCCTTAATTACTTGTTGTACCTGCATACTTATGTGACTTAAGAACACCTAGGTGCATCTGCAAATTAGAATTCTGCACGTGTTATTCATTTGAATAAACCCGGCTTTAATAGGAGCAGGACTGGGAACTGAACATTCCTGGTTAGAGAGCGTTTTCAGGTCAAATAGAGAAGTGAAAAAAAACAATGGAAAGGGACAGGGTTGGAAAATGCAATGCAGTACTGATCAAGGATAATATTGTAGTTAAGCAGAAAGATTCAAAGACTGAATCTATTTGATTGGAGTTAAGGGACAGAATATTTACCATGAACCCCAAATTACACAGCCAGAAGGGAGCAAACTTTGAAAAATTGAAGAGGAACTTTAAAATAATGTGAGTGGCAATAGATGACTGCAATTGCTCTCAGAACAGAGTGAAAAACAAAAACAGAAGTTGCCGGAAAGGCTCAGCAGGTCTGGCAGTATCTGAGAAGAAAAAAATCAGAGTTAACGTTTCGGATCAGGTGACCCTTCCTCGGAACAGTTCTGAGGAAGGGTCACCTGACCCGAAACGTTTCCTTTGATTTTTTCCTGATTTACAGCATCCGCAGTTCTTTTGGTTTTTATAGAGTAAAGGACAAGTAGGCTGACATTAAAATATGCACAAGGAGATCCATATTGAATATTTTTTGAGTCTAAAAAACGAAGAACTCAGTGCTGGATCTGACATGGGTGAATGACATGTATTACAATGGAAAAGCTGCTTGCTGACAAAGATCAGACCGCAATTGTACTTCAGTTGTTATGAAAATGGGACAAAGAAAAACTAACCGTGAAAATTAACTACAGCAATACGGGGTCAACTTCAGTAGTAGTGCATGAATGCAAATTGATAAATTGGATACAAACATATGAATTACTGGCTTTGAAAAGAGGCATGGAATACAAAAACAAAGGAAAATATGCAAAATCTTTACAAATCACCGGGTAGGCATCAGCTTGAATATTGCAGCCAATGTGGTGCACCTCACTTAGGAAGGATGTCAAAGCCTTGGAGAGATCTACTCAAAAAATACAATCGGTGAATAGCTTCAGTTACTTGAAGAGACTACAGAAGGTGGAATTCTTTTCTTTCCACCAGAGAAGGTTAAAAGAAGGTTTGATAAAGGTATTAATAAAAAAAATTTTGATAGAGTAAATTAGAGAAGTTGTTCCCATTACCAAGTGGATTGCTACCCAGAGTGACAGATTACAAACAATTAGCAAGAACTAGAGAAGAAATGAGGATGAATCTCTTCATACTACATGTCAAGATGATGGAATCAGACTCCATAGGAACTTTCAGAAAGAGGTGTACTTGAAGAGAAATAAATTGCAAGATCACGGAGAAAATCTGGAGTTTGCGATGAATTGGACAGTTCTAAATGAGCAGAATTATCTCCTTCAGTTTTATTACTTTAATCATTTAATTTTCAATGTTTTACTTCTGAACAAAATGCACTGAGTACCACAGGGGCAATATACCATTTCAAGAAGTGATGGGTATCACTGTAAGGAGATGATATATATTAGAACATGAAACGTGAATAAACTTGATCATAATTAGAGCCTCATCACAACCTGAGAATGTTGCTAAGCACTCTGATCATTTTGAAGTGTTCTATAATTGCTAAGCTGAACGTTGAAGACTCCCATTCTTTTCCGAATGGCATCACAAGATTTTTACATTAGAACGGGCAGATAGCCTCTTTTAATCTCAACTGAAAGACAGCACCTCTCCTCCCTCAATGTGGCAGAGTCAGCCTAGATCACACACACAAATCCTAGAGAGGTTTGCAAGCATATTTTCAGACTTAAAGGAGAGAACGTGAGCAACTGAGCTGAGCTGACTAAGATTTGAAGGTTGGAAACTGGTGAAAGTTAGAGAGGAAACAGAAATGTGAAAAACAGGCATTTATGAAAAGGGACATTGGCATGAGTTTTGAAGATCACATTAGCAGATCATATCAACAATCGAGGCTTCAAACCAAACACTTAATAGCAAAAAAATGAAGAATACTGTTTGTCTAAAATCCAAAAGTTCGATGGAGATCGCCAGTGAGGTTAAAGAGTCATTTAAGTTGTTATGTGAGAAGATTTACTGAAGTTTGATGATTCTAGTGGACAGCCAACACTTACCCTTTCATTAGCTGCGCTGCTGTGAAATAGGCAGCCATGGCCTGGTCATGTTCACCTTCCACTGCAAAGGAATGGCCATAGGCAATCCATGCTGGCCCATAGGTTCGCTCAAGGGTGGTGGCTTTACTGCAAGGTTAGAACAACTCTGATTAGACAAACAAACCAAGAGTCTTCCCAAATTAACAGGAATTACTGTAAAGATTATACGTGGCCCAAGGGATTAAGTTACTGCACAAACCTAACTGAACAGAGGGAGCAGTTAGAACGTGACAATAAAGCTTAAATCAAATCAAATCTTTTTCTAATATAAAAGGGTTGAGGAATGTGATCAGAAAGCCAGCACAGAACTAGCTCTTCACTAAGTTCAAACAGTCAATATCTTCCAGTCACTGCATGTCCAATGTATGATACTGGAGGAGGCCATTCAGCCCCTTAGATCTGTCCCAGCATTCACTGACATTATGGCTAATAAGTACCTCAATTCCATCTGCCTGCCTTTGTCCCAAATCCTTTGATACCTTTGCCCATTAAAAATCTGTCAGTCAATCTCGGCTGTATACCTTTACCCTGTTAAGCCTGATCCCAGGTCCTGGTTCTGGAATTTGTGGCAATCTCAAACATATTACTCGAGTGAAAATTACATTGCTGTGCAAGTATCCTAAGCACGCAGAGACAATGCATCCAAACAAATCTACACCAGCTATTTTTCAATTCAGGACAACATTTAAACTAGTAAAATCTCAACATTGCAAAAAAATTTCAGTTTTGACAATAATCCAAAAACCCTGCAATGGCTACAGAGTTTTTATTTATTGTGCTTCTGTAACAGCAAGTCAGCAACTACCACATCTTTAAGAGGACAACTATGTTCAAACTCCCCAGATGTTCTAAATAGCTTCAGGAAACATGGGAATTCACGTACATGTGAATTTTAACAATGATTTTGCTAGAAAAAGATATATTTCCAACACTGGTCTTCAATTATACATTGTGTTCTACATGTATATTCTGCTTCATTAGACCAAAACTACGCTTTTGAAAGATCTTCAGTGCAAAAGTGAAACTTCAGGGCCCTAAGGTTTATTCTCAAAGTTTATCACTACATGTTGTTCTCTCTGTGAATTAGAGAATGAAGCACAGAAATAATGATGGGGAACAAAGAAATGGCAGAAGAGCTGAATAATCCTTAGATTCTAGAAAAGTACCGGAGAAATGCCAGTGTAATACCCTCAATCTAAATGGAAGGGAGACAAAAAACACAGGTAACTATAAACCAGTTATCTTAACATCCATCATTGGAAAATGTTAGAATCTATAAAAAGAAATGCCATAGCAGAGCATTTAGAAACACAAAGTAGATTCAGCATGCCTTCATAAAGGGGAAAATCATCCCTGAGAAATGTATTAGAATTACTTGAGGAAGTAAAAATCAGGATAGTTAAAGGGGAACCAGTAGCCGTATCATACTTGAATTTCCAAAAGGTGTTCAATGAGGGGCCACACTTAAGGCTACTTAAGATATGTGTACATGGTATAGGGGGTAGTATACCGGCAAAGATAGACGATTAAATAACTGTTAGAAGACAGAGTTTGGACAAAAGGGCATTTTCAGGATGGCAACCAAAACTAGTAGAGCGCCACAGGGATAAGTCTGTGGCCACAAATTATTTAGAATATATATTAAAGACTTGGGTGAATGCGCTAAACTTACCATCACCAAGTCTATAGATAACACAAATGCTAGGAACGATGCAGTCTGCAAAGGGATTTAGACACGTTAAGTGAGTGGGCAGAAATTTAGCAGATGGAATATAATGTTTGGAAATGTGAAGTTATACATTTTTGCAAAAAGAAAAGAAGAAAGAAATATTATTTAAATGGAGAGGGATTGCAGGAGGCTGCAGCACTGAGGGATTTGGGGCTCATTGTGCATGAATTACGAAGAGGTCCAAGTTCAAGATGTTAAGCATCCAAGTTGAACGGGTGATAAAGAAGGTTATTGGCCTTTCAAAGGGAATTGTAGGGTGTTAATATGAAAATATAGTGCCAGCTTGACCAAATTAACCAGCAGGCAGCAGGGATAGCGAGTACTTTAGATCAAGAAATAGCTTGACAAAATTATTCACAGAGCTAGTTAGTAAAAAGCATCTTACCAGAGACGTGTATATGGATATGAAAGTCGGGTCTGATGTTATTTAAAAAAAAAGAGGAACCAGCATAGTTATAGCGAGAATCTAGGACCAACAATCCTAAGAAGGATGACCCTGAGTCAGGGGCTCAGAGATAACAGCGAGAACCCACGAACAACTCTCAACCATGGGGCTCTAGGTCAGGGACCTAAAGAACAGGAGTATTCTCTGGACCACATTGTAATCACCTTCGTTTTTCACTGGCAGTATTCTGCTGAGAAGTAAGGCTTGTAACATTTGTGATTCTAATAAATAGTGTTGCATAACTCTTAAAACTCGAGTATTTATATAATTACTGCCATTTTGCTTTGTGCAAATAGGTATTAGTGAAAAACAGAACAGGAACGGAGTATAAAGGTAGAGAGGTATTGCTAAAACTACACAGACAATAGTCAAACCATACCTAGAACACTAAACGGTTTTTGTCTCCTTATCTATGGAAAGATATATGGACGCTGGGGACAGTTTAGAAAAGGCCACTAGACTGAATCTGGGTATAGAGGGATTTTCTTATGATAAGAGGTTAAGTAGTTTGGGTTTGTACTCATTGGAGTTTAGAGGAATGAGAGGAGATGTTTTTGAAAGACAAAAGGTTCTTGGGGGGCTTGACAGGATAAATGTGGAGAGGTTGTATCTCCTTGTGGGAGTGTCTAGGACCAGAAGGTATAATTTCAAAGTAAGGGGTTGCCCAATTAAAACAGAGATGAGGAGGAATTTCTTCCCTCAGAGTAGTGAATCTGAAATTCCTTGTCACAGAGGTTTGTAGAAGCTGCCTTGTTAAAATATTCAGATGAGTCAAAATAAACATTTTTAATCAGCAAGGGAGTCAGCAGTTACAAAGACAAAGCACATAACTAGAGTTAATGATTATCAAATCAGCCATGGTCTCAGTGAATGGTGGAGTAGATAAATACGCTGAATGGCCTGCTTTGCTCTTATGTCTTATGATATAACAATTCATCCACTGGGAACAAAAGTACTAACCTGAAAAAAACAGGTTCACCATTACAGGTATGATTCCTCCCTGTTGATCCTAGCACTTAGTAATTCCAGAATCCAAGACTAAACAAGCTGCCTCAATTTATCTCAAGCTCTTCACTAGTCTTTATGCAGCTGCCTGAAGTTACTGCATGCTCCATGTACAAAAAACAGGAATAGGAGGCGTCCATTCAGTACCAAGCATGCTGAGCCATTTCATTAGACCATGGGTAACATGCACCTGACTCCAATTAACTGTCTTACTTCCACAACCCATCATATCCTTATCCAACAAACTCCAGTCTTTAAATTTTCAAATAACCTCCAGCTCCGGTCTCATCGACCTGTTGGGAGGACTGTTCCAGATGCCAACTGTCCTGTGTGTGTGTGAAGAAGTATTTCCTGATTTCATGTCCAAATGGCCTCTGATTCTAAGATTACTGTTGATAATTTGAGTGCACTTGCACATTGAAATACACTGTCACATTATAAAATGTTGGTATGAACATTATGCACTTGACTACAAAATGGAATATCAGTAAACTGCAGATATTTTTAACAACATTGAAAACAGAATAAAAAGTAGGAGAAATAAATTTTTGCAAAGCACCAAGGACACAGTAAACTACCCAATTCTCCAGGTAACACTGGTAATGTTCTCACCTGAGGTAACGCCTGGCATGTTCATTCTTGTGGCCAACCATAAGATAATAACAGCCCACAGCAAACCAAGACACCTAAGGGCAAATCACAACCATCAGTATTGGGTACCTTTATTTCAACAAAATACACACTAAGTGCCATACCTTACTCAGGCAGCAGCGAGCATGTGGAATTTGCTATCACAGGGAAAGGCTGAAGCATATAGCACAGATATATTTAAGGGGAATAAACACATGATGGAGAAAGGACTGGATTATATTTATGAGTTAAGATGAAATAAGGTGGGAAGAGGTTTGTGCGGAAGTACCAGCATGGCCTAGTTTTGCTGAAAGTTCTGTTACTTTGCTGTAAATTCTGAGGAGAAATGTGTTGCTGTAGTGCTGTTAAAACATAGTTGTGCTGATTCCGAGCACATGGTGCTGTTCAATGATATCACGTAGGCCACATGGATAGCAGCCTGCTCTGCTGTCGGCATCCCAGGGAAATCGACAATGATTTTTCTTTCAATGTAACTGAAAAAGCATGCTATGTGATTCCACCAAAGTTCAGAGGCTCAAATGACCTCAATAAAGCTATAATAAATAGGAACAAGAGTAGGCAAAACGTCCCCTTTGCCTGTTCTGCCATTCAATAGGATCATGATTTGACAATCCTCATATCCACTTTCCTGCCCTTTCCCCATAACCCTAGATTTCCTGTCTGGTCAAGAATCTATCTATCTCAGCCTTATATATACACAAGGACTCTGCCCTCACAGCTCTCTCTAGCAAAGAGCTCCAAAAACACTCAACCCTCAGAGAAGAAATTTCTCCTCATTCCAGTTTTAATTGGCACCCTTTTATTCTGAGGCTAAACCCTGTGGTCCTAGACTCTCCCATGAGAGGATACATTGTCTCAGGATTTACCCTGTCAAGCCCCTTTAAGAATCCTACATGTTTCAATGAGACCACCTCTCATTCTTCTAAACCCCAATGAGTAGAGTCCCAAAACATTTAGCCTTTGCTCATAAGACAATCCCTTCATACCAGGGTCATTCTAGTGAACATTCTCTGAACTGCCTCCAATGAAATGGTATCTTTCCTTAAATAAGGGGACTAAAACTGTTTACAACACTCCAGATGTGATCTCACCAGCACCTTGTATAGTTGCAGTAAGTGTTCCCTACTCTTATACTCCAACCCTCCCTTGAAATAAGAGCCAACATTTCATTAGCGTTCCTGATTACCTGCTGCACCCACGTGCTAGCTTTGTGTCTTGTGCACAAAGACCACCCAAGTCTCTGTGTAGCAATTTTCTGATTTTTCATTATTTAAAGTAATATCCTGTTCTCCATTCCAAAATGAACAACTTTGCATTTTCCCATATCATACTCCGTTTGCCACCTTTTTGCCCACTTACTTAACGTATAAATATCTTTCTGTAAACTATTTGTATCCCTCTCACAACTGGCTTTTCCACCTATTTTTATGTTGTCTGCAAGTCTGGATACAATACATTCACTCCTTTCCTCCAAGTCACTAATATATATTGTAGACAAATGCAGTCCCAGCACTGATTCCTGTTGAACCCCACTGGTCATGTGTTATGGACCAGACCAAACCCCCTCAAAATACATTAAAGAAGAAACCCTAGACCCAAACTTTTTCTTATTTTAAAGGTAAGTGTAAGGCGGTATGTTCCAGATGCACCTTGATTGGTCAAACCACTCGACTTTGAGCAAAACACACTATTTTTACATTGCAGTTAAATACAGACAAAATAAAAACAAAACAAAAATTGGCTTAACAGTAACTCTATTGAAATGCTTAACAAAATATATATATAAAAATCTACTACTAATTGACTGTTTAAATATAGTAACATCCCATAAACACATCCTTGGCAAAGGCAAATTCAGTAAAACAGATTGTCTCACATGCAATTCTAACAGCAGGAAGAGAATCCCAGCTTTTATCTGTAACAGGGAGAGGAATAGGAGCTTCCACATCCAGTTCAAAGACCCCAGCTACTGCAGAAAGCTAAAACTAGAAATCCCGGTTCTGTGAGAGCTTGATCCCATCCATACAGGCTGCTTCTATTGTTCCAATTTTAAAAAAAAATTGCAAGGCCTCACAAGCTGTTTACTTTATTGGATTTGAGCAGACAGTTCATCTCCTCTATTGCAACCTTTCTTCACAAAACGAAAAGGACAAAATAACACCTCTTAAAACCACAGTATCATCACACCTGAAAAAAAAAAATCCTTTTACCCACTCACTGTTTCCTGCCTATTAGCCAATTCTCTGTCCATGCCAATAGACCACCTCCAACACCATGGCTTCTTGTGACTTAACTTGAGGGATCTTACTGAACGCTTTCTGGAAGTCCAAGTACAATATATCTACCGCTTCCCTCTATCCACTTTGTTTGAGACTTCCTCAAAAAATTCTAATAAATCAGTCAGGCATGATTTCTCTTTCACGAAGTCATGCTGACTCTGCTCGAATAGATTACGGTTTTCCAAATATTCTGCTATTACTTCCTTAATAATTGATTCCAATAGTTGTTAGGCAAGTTGGTCTATTGTTACCCTCTTTTTGCCTCCCTCCCTTTTTGAACAGGGGTGTTACGTTAACAGTTTTCCAATCCTCTGGTATTCTTCAGAATTCAACAACTTTTGGAAAATCATAACCAATGCATCCAATATCCCTATAGCTACCTCTTTTGGGATCCTAGGATGCAAGCTCAGGGCCAGGGGACTTATCTGCTTTTAGCCCTGTACTATTATTGTGATGGTGATGGTACTTCATTACTCTATTTAGTATTAATGGAGTATTGGGGTATTTCCCCCTATCAATTAGTGGCCTGCAGCTCTATGGTCAGAATTAAAACATGGAAAAATCAAGTAACAAGGCCAAAGTTTTGTCTAATTAGCATGGCCTGTTTATTTCACCGTGTATAAAGCTTTTCTACCTGGAGGGCTGCATGCAACACAACTTAAAGAGAAGCAATTAATGCATTTGGTAGTCAAATGTCTGCTGACATTACCAAGATACACAGATGAGTAAGCAAATATTTTACAGCAGTGAGTCAGCAGCTTCATGAGGGATTAAAACTGATAAAACAGAAAGTAGATGGAAATAAAACGATGATTAGTAACGATTCAAATTACTTACTGGGTTATTGGGATATAAATCTACCAACTTGTGTGCAAGGTAGAACAATTCTGAAAATCAGGAAGAAAAATGTAAGACAAAAACATTAAACATAGAAACATAGAATCCCCAGAATGCAGAAAGAGGCCACTCAGCCCATCAAATTCACACAGACTCTCCGAAGAGCCTCCCACCTAGACTATATGTAACCCTGCATTTAGCGTGGCCAATCCACCTAACTTGCATATCTTTGGACTGTGGGAGAAAACCGGATCACCTACAGGAAACACACGCAGACACGGGGAGAATGTGCACACTCCATCCAAGGCTGGAATTGAACCTGGTTGCCTGGCTGTGAGGCAGCTGTGCTAACCACTGTGCCACCATGCTGCCCCCATAGGTGAGTGCCTTTCTTTTAAAAAACGAAAACTAATGAGAAAAATGCAGGAAACAGAGCCAGAATCAATACAGTTACACTGAATGTTCGAATGTCATTTTAAAAAAGTCCAATATTCAACAGAATTGCCATCGAGGAGGCAGAGAAGTTGGGGGGGTCTCTGTGAATAGAAAAAAAGGCTGTTTTACCAATGCTGAAAGAAAGAGAAACTAGGATGGAATGGCAACCAGGGCAAGGGAGATGTAAAGGAGTAAAATGGCTTAACAAAATTGCAGATCTGGGTATGGATGAAACTGCTAGATCTTTAGATAGAATTTTGAATTCAATTCAAATCAAATTAGGGAAAAGAAACAAAATGTCAGAACAAAAGAGGTTGTGATTCAGTTCCTACCATTTGCTTTGTTCAATTCCACCAATGTTCCAATGTGCACTGGAAGGAGAACTGCATGGTAAGGATCTTTATTCATCACCCTAGAGGAAAAATGAATGAAATATTAATCTGTTCTTCTGAAATTAACCCTGCATGTAAACAATTGCTTTTTAAATGATTATGAATGTTATCCAATAGCACTGAAGCCAGGGGTGAGCCATTGCTCAATGGATCGTACTCTTCCCTCTTGGTTAGAAGGTTACAACCTTTCGGTTTGGCTGTAATCTAGCCAACATCCAGTGCAATATTTAGGAAAAGCTGCCCTGTTAGAAATGCCGTCTTTCAAATGAGACATTACAAAAAAAATCTGCTTGCTTTCTCAAGAGGACGTACTATTTTGAAGAACAAGGATGTTTTGTAGTATCCTGGTCAGTACTTAACCCTCAACCAAAATAACCAGATTATCCAATTTACATCAAATTGCTCTTTGTGGGATCTTGCTTTCCAAATTTGGCTGCCACATATCCCACATTACAATAATGATTAGACTTCAAAAAAGTGATGAATTGGTTGTAAATGATTTTATTCGTAACATTCAGCCTGTACTTACATTGAAGTGAGTTTGTAGCATGTTTTAAAATCACAGTTGTAGTAATTTCTCTCTGCAACAGACACTACAACATCCAGGTTATCCTGCAGCCCATCTATTGACTCAGGAATTACTGTCTCACTTGGTTTGTTATACTGTTGGAACAAAAGGATAATTGTCAGAGTGTAAAATCAAGGATAATATTTAATCTTACTGAAGAATTCAACTTGCAAAAAAAAAGGTATGAGAGAGAAACTGATCTGAAACTATGTTGAGAATGAAAGCAGCTTGTGCAAACATACTTTGATTATTAAGAATGTAGAAGCTGCAATACATCTGGTGTAGTCCAAGATAATACTGGATAAAAGGATTCCATGATCTCAACATTTTGACTACAGGTCACCTGGCAAGTTTAACTGTTATTTTCTAAGTTAAAAAGAATCAGATATACAAAGAAAATTGTATTTTAGGAGAAAATCTGATGAATAAAAAAAATGGTGCACTTACCTTTTTCAATTTATTTTTGTATAGAAAGTACAACAAATCACGTTCTTCTTCAGTGCATTGTTTATTGAATGGCAATGACTCAAGCAGTTCCTTTTCTGTAGAGAAAGTTTTAAATGTGATTATCCCAAGTCTTAAAATCAGCCCTAACACATCCTTTATCATTGTATTGGTCATTCTCTTAATTCTGGATGCTTTATCATGGGTATTGCTTTTCGACTCAACATATTTTTATTCACCAGGTAGCCAGATGGTAAGGGACAGGATACTGGAGCCTGATCTTTATTCCCATATAAGCATTTGTTTACAGAGACAAACCACAAAGGATGAACGTTCAAACAACAACTACTTTTCCATTTGATTCTGTATTGAGTGTCTCGGAATTAGCTGATACAAATGCTTTTAAGGTTCAAGCTTCGGCCTATCTGGAGCAGAAGAATCTCTTAGGAAGATTGCACCACTGACAGTGAAACCTCGACAGCAAGGAGTTAGAGAAGTGGGCCATTCAATGTCACAGGGATCTGAGCCTGCATGTGCAAGAGTACGGGGTTTCTGAATGGGCAACGTATAATCCCAGGTCTGACCAGGAGTTCCTACCCAACAAGGATAGCACCACAACCTCATGAATTTGCCTTTTGTATTTGAGCATGGCTGACTCTTACAGCATTTAGCCTGTGGAGAAAACTGCTTTAGCAGTTAAATATTTAATTAATTCATGTGTCTTGAATCACTTCAGCCATCTGACTATCCTAATTTAATTGTTATTTGGAAGACATGCATTTATCCCACTGACGATCAGCCAAATGCACACCCTTCTCCTAGGGAGATTGCGGTAGACTATTCAGTCACTTGAGATTGGATACATTTTCGAGAAAACTAGGTAAACATGGGGGAGAAAGGAATAAAAGGGTTTTCTGGTCGGATGAGACTAAGAATGGTGGGATGAGGCTTGTGTGCAGCATTGACACCAGCTGAACTGAATGGCCTGCTTCTGTGTTGTAAGCAGTTTGTAATTAATGCTGACCAAAATTGTTGGCATTTTGTCTGTGATGAGATTAGCTGAAATATTTCTCCAAGTAGTCCCACAGTATCGGGAAAGACACTGAGAAAGTCTTAGAAACAGTTGACGATCTCTGTGAAATTTTAAGAGGGACAGATTCAGAGCCCAATCACAGTGCAAAATTTATGACAAATATCTGGATGAAGCAAACTTTGCACTAACTCTATATCTGACCACAGCAGGTTTCAACAACCAAAGCAAACTTCAGAAAAGTAACTGGCACTCAAACCTTCCTGTGCTGTCAGCATGTGGTGTGATGTCAGTAGATCAAATGCTTCAAAACAACACACATCGAGCTTCAATGCTTCTCTGTAGCTGTTTGTAGCCAGGGGTCGGTTATCCATAGCATCATAGATCTTCCCTCGCAAAAGGCAAATAGAGCTCTTGATCTAACAGGAAACATTCCAGGAGGTTAAAACACTATCAATATTATTCAACAAAAAAAAAGTCAGTAAATGCATATCAAACCAAACCACCTTCACATCAGGTGCCTTACACTATCAGTAGCACAATTTGCTTTTAAATTATAATTGGAACAATACGAACATGCAACTACTTCATTTTTTTTCAGCTTTGTAATAATTGAGCATTAACCATGCAAGAAAAAGTATTAAGGAAGAGCTGCACAGTTGCAAGAACTGAGTTAACCCAGTTAGTGGATGTGTGCACTCTACTGATTGCCCACTTCATTTATTCTAAGACTGTGTCCCCTCATGTACATGATGACTAATACATCAGCTTGGGAAGCAGCAAGGTAGTTTCAGGTGTATGGAATAATTCAGGTCATTAAAATAACTTGCAACGCTATAGCTGGGAACAATAATAGAGGATCAATGCACTTCAATCTTGAGTTTACCAGACATAAGGAATTTTGTATAATGCAACTGGAGTTTACATCAAATTTGTTGCTTAGCTACAATTATAATGTTACAGATCAATATCCTCTTGATGTTTTATTATCATCAATAACTGAAAATCTAAAGTAATTGGTGGCTCATTATCTCCAATACATGAATTTAAACGCAGATTTTCACTTACAAACTTTTAGAGTCACACATTGCATAGGAGCACTTCTAACCATCGACTTCACTTTCAGTCTGCTCCTATATCCTTCAGTATATAAACATAGGTGGCTCCTAATTTAGTTAATACACTCTACCAAGACACACGACTCCTTCAACCTTCTAAACCATCATCCAGGAAGACAAAGGTAGCAGGTGCCTGGGAACACACTCACCCACAAGTTCTCTTCTGGCTACACAGCATCCTGATTTGGAACTATATCCATGGTTCTTTCAATGTTGCTGGGTCAAGATCCTGGAGCTCCCTTTCTAATAGCACTGTGGGTGATTTATGACCCCTGGACTCCAGTGGTCCAAAAAGACCACAACCATATGCAAAAAGTCTGAATAAATATCCAATTGATATTCAAATAATTAAATAGTTATCAAAACAAACAAGTTCCAGACACTAAGTAAGTTAACATCGCTCAGTTCACAACTTGGGAATCTATTCAACATTTGGGATTAGGGCCAGATCAGAACTATCTGCATTTGTAAATATTTAATTGGAGTGTGGAGGGGGCAGGGAGAGGGAAATGAAATTCAAGACAGCAATCAAATCTAATAGCAAGAGGTGTGAACAGACAGAAGCTGACGTGTAAATTGGCACTAACTTGAGGAAAATACAAGATAATGAAACTGGAGAACGGTCACATAAACTAGATGGTTCCCAGACAATATGAATCTGGATATATTGATCTGGAGATGCTGATGGGAGAGTTCACTAGTAGCAGCAGAGTACAGCAGCAGTGACAGAAGCTAACCAGATCTTCAGATCTATAACCTGCAGCACAATGAACCTGTCGAACACACTGGTACGCCCACAGGTGGAGCAGTCTATCTGCAAACTTCTCTCAGGAGTTACTGGACAATGCAGAATGGCAACCAAGTTATCCCTTTACCAAATCCTCCAAGGGTTTCAAAGCCAGCTGCAGCACCATGATTGAGTACAGGTAGTTCACTACATAGCAGAGTGAAATCTGAAACAAACACAGGCTAGGGACTCAAAAGCATTAGATAATGTCATAGAACCACAAGGAGTGTGTGCCCCCTTTAAGTGAGAAGGACAATAAAGGCAAAAGCAGGAAATTATATGCTTCCTGTTGAACAGCATAGATTGTGGTTGAATCGTGTGACTCACTGCAGCAGGAGACAATCCCCAGTCGATAGAGGCTTCTTTGATCTTGTTGTCAGCTTTGGCATTCTTCTCCAATATGATCTTGTTGATTGGTTCTTGCATATCCAGAATGTCAAGAGCTTGCTGATATTCCTTGGCTGCATACTTTTTTAGGACAGAAAAACATAAGGGAACAAGCTTTAGTCATCAAGGGTTAATATTGTGATACAGATATACGTTTGTGACCCACTTAGATTCTGCACTGCTGGAAGTTCCATCTTATGGAAGAGACTGGGGCTTTTTTCACCTGCATTCTGGAGTAGGATTTGAACCCACAAACTTCTGACTCAGAGCCAGGACTGACATTTAAGTACATACTCAAATATCTTGCCTAGTGTTTGAGCTTTTTCTACAAAAAAAATACAAAAATTCCACACAAAAGGAATTATTAATCCTTTGTTAATATTTAACCAGATGTGCTGGCAATGACAACTTCATACAAAAATACTTCTTCTGTGTCAGGATTGGCCTAACTCATATATCCCAGAGCTATGTGCATAACTTAGTTTCATTATCATCAAAACACACTGTTTGCACTGGGGGATAAACACGTAGGTATAATATGCTCAGAAAAAGTGCGTCAAGTAGGTGATTCAATTCAACCTGGCTCCACAGTTCAACTGATGTACCTCACTAAAGCGCCACTAGAGGGGGCCAATTTGCTCAATGCCATTGAAAGACTCTCAGCTGTTATTTCAGACATACAGCGCCACCCAGCGGTGAAAGGGGGACATGACTCCAAACACCGCAATAATTATAATTCTGTTAGATTATACAACAAGAAAATTAATTTGGTATTTCCAATCCACAGCCAACTGTCCCAGCACAGTCCAAACCGTTCTTTAAAGTCTGTTCAACAACTTATATTTTCTCATACCTTAAACATAATAATAAAAGGTCCCAGGCTGATCGGGGGTCAGGGGCGCGAAAAAAAATCGAAGTGACATCACTGGGTCAGAGATAGCAGGAACTGCAGATGCTGGAGAATCTGAGACAACAAGGCGCAGAGCTGAATGAACACAGCAGGCCAAGCAGCATCAGAGGAGCAGAAAGGCTGATGTTTCGGGCCTAGACCCTTCATCAGAAATGGGGGAGGGGAAGGGGGTTCTGAAATAAATGGGGCGAGAGTGGGAGGCGGATAGAAGATGGATAGAGGAGAGGATAGGTGGAGAGGAGACAGACAGGTCAAGGAGGCGGGGATGGAGCCAGTAAAGGTGAGTGTAGGTGGGGAGTTAGGGAGGGGATAGGTCAGTCCAGGGAGGACAGACAGGTCAAGGGGGCGGTATGAGGTTAGTAGGTAGGAGATGGGGGTGCGGCTTGAGGTGGGAGGAGGGGATAGGTGGGAAGAAGAACAGATTAGGGAGGCGGGGACGAGCTGGACTGGTTTTGGGATGCGGTAGGGGGAGGGGAGATTTTGAAGCTTGTGAAATCCACATTGATACCATTGGGCTGCAGGGTTCCCAAGCGGAATATGAGTTGCTGTTCCTTCAACCTTCGGGTGGCATCGTTGTGGCACTGCAGGAGGCCCAGGATGGACATGTCTGAGGAATGGGAGGGGGAGTTGAAATGGTTCGCGACTGGGAGGTGCAGTTGTTTATTGCAAACCGAGCGTAGGTGTTCTGCAAAGCGGTCCCCGAGCCTCCACTTGGTTTCCCTGATGTAGAGGAGGCCACAACGGGTACAGCGGATGCAGTATACCACATTGGCAGATGTGCAGGTGAACATCTGCTTGATGTGGAAAGTCTTCTTGGGGCCTGGGATGGGGGTGAGGGAGGAGGTGTGGGGGCAGGTGTAGCACTTCCTGCAGTTGCAGGGAAAAGTGCCGGGTGTGGTGGGGCTGGAGGGGAGTGTGGAGCGGACAAGGGAGTCACGGAGAGAGTGGTCCCTCCGGAAAGCAGACAAGGGTGGGGAAGGAAAGATGTCTTTGGTGGTGGGGTCGGATTGCAGATGGCGGAAGTGTCGGAGGATGATGCGTTGGATCCGGAGGTTGGTGGGGTGGTACGTGAGGACGAGGGGGATTCTTTTTTGGTTCTTATTGCGTGGACGGGGTGTGAGGGATGAG